CATGTACTTCTCTCTTACAGGTGAAGTTCTGAACACATCCTCCGCTCCAAAGGGCGAAGCTCCACCCACTCCGACCACACGCTGTCCTTGTATTGTTCATATTTTTGCAGTCGTCTCAAGCCCTGACTAACCAGCAGGCTTGAAAGTAATTCTTACTTGAAAGTATGAATTTTGTTTTACTCAACTTTTCATCCTCCATGCTAACTGGTGCAATGCCTTCCTTGCAAATAGTACGTACCCAGTAAATATTTGTTGAAAAATATATGTATGCACCAGCAATAGAAAGATGATGTATCAATTTAGTTAGCCCAGTCACATTCTTTAAAATCAAAATAATGAGTATCAATGCCTATTACATGTAAGATACCAGGTATTTATTTCAAACTTTTCTTAAATTTATTTGGAAAAAGTTCAGATATAAAATATTATAAATCATATAATACCCATACATCCACTATCCATATTAAGAAAGAAAACACTGCCAATACAATTAAAGCCCCATGAAGCCCTTCCTGAACATATCTCTTTCACTCGCCACCATCGTGAGTCAAATCCTGAACTTGGGAATGACTCTTTCCAAGTATTTATTTTATATTGTAACCATATGACACATGCATTTATACTTTGTGTTTCCTGAATTATTTTAGAATATTCAATTCTGCTAAGAGAAATAAATATATAGGGAGAAAAAATGAAATTATGAATCAAAGAAAATAGAAACAGGCAAAATCCATACGACATGTTATTAAGAATAAGTTGCCCAGCTAGTGTAGTTCAGTGGTTGAGCATCAACCTATGAACCAGGAGGTCACAGTTCAATTTCTGGTCAGAGCACATGCCTGGTTGCAGGCTTGATCCCCAGTGTGGGGCGTGCAGGAGGCAGCTGATCAATGATTCTCTGTTATCATTGACGTTCCTATCTCTCTTTCCTTTTCCCTTCATCTCTGAAATCAATAAAAATAGATTAAAAAAAGAGAATAAGTTGATAACCACTGAGATATGTTAGCCATAGATAAAGTAAGTAGAGCATTTGTGTAATGAACATAGTTAGAAAGAGATGGGAAGAGCAAGAGACACCTAGTAGTCATGATACACTAAATATGTATGAGGCTGTGAATCATCAAATATTCATGACACACCAAAGATACGTGAGAATTATAGGCATTCACTAATTAAGAGGTCTTAATTGGGCCAAATATTGGGTCCTCATATCCTCTGCACAAGGAATGCCAAAGAAAATCCATAAGTGTTCATGGGGCTAATTGGTAAGGGATGCACTTTCTCGAAAGCCTATAGAGTAACTATGTTTTGACCCTAGGCACCTTCTACATGTTGGGCCACTTTGCTTAAATATCCATTCTGGTCCTTGCAAGCAAACCCTTATCAAGGAAGAGAGACAAGACTGAGGACTCAGGCAGTGCCATCTTTCACCCTGCGTACATCACGTCTTACAGGTGTTAACCTAGCCCGTCTCTTTCACCTTGCTTCTTGCTGTGTGTTTTCAATTGAGTTAATAAACAATGTGATTCAAGCACATCGTTTTGGTCTGTAAGCTTTTCTATGATCTCTTGGATAGCCTGCCTGTTATTATACTTACAGGCTTCTGTTGCTGCAAGGTAATTTCCCATACAACAACAGTACTTGCAAGTTTTCAACCTGGATAAAAATTGCATCATATTTTACATATTCATCTGCAACATGTTTTTTTGCATCATATGTATAAGATTCTTCCATGAAAGGTATGTAGATCATTTTTTAAAATATATTTTTATTGATTTCGGACAGGAAGGGAGAGGGAGAGAGAGATAGAAACATCAATGATGAGACAGAATCATTGATTGGCTGCTTCCTGCACGCCCCCCACTGGGGATTGAGTCTGCAGCAGGGTATGTGCCCTGACTGGGAATCAAACCTTGGTTGATGCTCTGAGCCACAGCAGCTGGGCTAGATCTTTTTAATTTATTTTCATGGCTATAGCCATTGTATAAATTGATCACAAATTGCTTATGAATTCTTCTCTTGATCTAAGGTAGGCTGTTTCCAATTTTTTACCATTGTAATCAGTGCTGCTGTAAATATTATCTCCTTGGTCACATGTAAGAGAGTTGCTCTGAGGATAACCTAGAAGTACACTTTCAGGGTCCAAGGGTATGCACTTCTTTCACTTGACTAAATCTCGCCAAGAGTACATGAGTTCTGGAGAACCAAGATGGCAGCGTAGGCAAATGCCTGAACTCACCGTCTCCCACAACCACATCAAAATTACAACTAAAATACAGAACAACCATCATCCAGAACCACTGGAAAGCTGGCTGAATGGAAGTCCTACAACTAGAGAAGTAAAGAAGAAAGCACACTGAGACTGGTAGGAGGTGGGGAGGTGCAGGACGGGCTGGTCTGGCACCCATGTGGGCTGCTTTTTTAATTAGGAGGGAGATCACCTCTGTGGAGGCCTCCTGGAGGAGCAAGGTGTCCCATCCCCACACCAGACCCCTAGCCAAGGGTCCCAGAGCTGGGGAAAGAAGTCCCTACGGGCAGTAAGAACTACAGGCTGTAAAAACCAGTGCGGATTGGGGCTGAGTGACACACAGGCTGCTGGAGACCCTGCTGTTCCTCTTAAAAGGCCAGCAC